TGCGCCCTTTGTTCGTGGAATCGTCGCTCGCCGATACTACTACTACATACATGGTTTCTCGTATGTATATTGAAAAGGGCTGTTGCCACGACCATATAGGCAGGCCAGGCCTGCGCCACACTGGCGCCTGGCGGCGCCATACCGTGCCAAAAATATAAAATAAAAAATAATGCGTCTGAGAATTATATTACTATTGCGAGTTTAGTTTTTACGGTGAAAGACAACAACAAAAAAAAAACGCGTGGCGATTCAAAGGAAAAGAAAGGTCAACTGTCCAACTTATTTCCTTGTTTCTTACGTGACGACGATGAAAGGGGGGAAAATGCAAGAAATGCAAATCTGTGTGTGACGGGAAGGACTCGGGGAAAAAGATGGGGGGGGGGGGGGCAGGTCCGCTCTTCCGGGAAGCCACGTCGACGAGCACGTCGCGGTCCCTTTGTCCCCCGGGCGGCGCTCTGCTCGTCGCTCCCATTCCGTGGACGTCCAGACCAATCCGGGCTGACGTGTACGGGACGTGCACAAGCGCTATGCACCGCAGCCGCACAGGCCTATGGTTTGCCCGCCGCGCCGCGCCTTTGTTCTATTTTTTGGCGCCTGCGCTGACCGCTGCGACAGAGAGAGAGAGCGAGGACGAAAAGAGACACAGAGTGAGAGTGAGAGTGAGGGAGGGAGGGAGAGAGCGTGTGTGCGTACTTTTACCAGGGGAGCTTTCTTCCGATTTGTTTTTTGCTCGTGTTCCCGCCGGGGCCGGGCCGCTACCGTCGCGCGGGAGGTCCAGTCTTTTATCCAATTATCGCCCCGCCGCGCCGCCGCCCATGCGTGCCGCCAGTTAGGTCTCTGCGCCGCGCAGGAACACCCCCAAATGTGTGAGTCTCGCACACTTGTGGATGTGTGAATTTTAAAATATTACCTACAAGTGTGCGAATTCCACACCTGTGTGAATTTTTAAATCCACACCCCTACATGTTTGCTCTATTCAAATTTCATTTTTTACAAAGGCCCTTTTCAAAAATGTCCTTTGGTAGAGACAGTCTTGGGTACGTAGTATAAAAACGTCTGACGAGACGACGCGACACTTTTTAATGATACACGGCCGCGACCCGTCGCAAAATAAACTGTCCTCTCCCCACCCCTCATGCTCCTTCTCCCTCCCCCTCTCCCGACGTCGGCGGCGTCGGAGCTTGGAGTGTGTTGTTCTGCTCAATGGCTGCGAGACACGAACAGAATTGAACGGGACACTTCGCCAGTGTTTGCCTTATGATTCACTCTGCGAGATGGAGGTTGTACGAGTGCAGTATGGGCGAGTGGCCGCTCACGCCGCTCACAGAACACAGAGACACGCAGACACACAGACACGCACCCGCCAACCGCCGCAGGGGGCCCCGCGTCCCCCCGGGGTCCCGCCCATGGCAGCACCCTGTACTGTACTATCGTTATGTCATGAGACGTAACCCCGACCTTGCGGACCGGGCCCGCTCGCGTTGCGTTCGGTCGCAATGGTTCGCTCATGGCGCGCCCCGCCCCCCGCCTCTCGCTCCCCGCCCCTGGTGACTCAGACGATGTATTACCAACGCCTCCCCCCTCCTCCCCCCGCGGTCGGGTGGGGCGCCGTCGCCGTGGACTACCATCCCCTCCCCCAACCCCAACCCTGCCCTTTGCTTCCTCTTCCGATGCGCTATACTTTTTCTGCATCTTTCATTCTGTCTGTGGCGGAACACACGCGGAAACTTGCGGTCGTGTCTCATCACCCATGTGCAACTCTGCTGCTGGGAGTCCCCCTCTTCCCCACACCCCACCGGCCCCTCTCCCCCGGGTGCAGCTTGTTAGTGGGCCGTCGTCCCGTCGTGCTTTGTCTTGTGTGTGCGTGTGTGTGTGCGCGTGTGTGTGTGTTCCGTGTTAATTTACGTGTTGATCCTCCTGAAAATAGCCGATCACAGAACACACACACACAACGGGTCGGTTATTTGGCGGCGCCCCGTACTACTTTTACGCGCTCCTCTTTGTGGTGCGACCCCCGCCGCCGCCGCCGATCCGATCCGATCTGGGCCGCACAGTGTCTAGGGCTAGGCATTTAAAAGTACGAAAATTTTCTTTAAAAAATCGGCAAAAATTTACAAGTTTTCAAACAATTGAAAAAAATACAACTTTTCAGGAAAAATTAAGACTAAATCATCCTTGAAAAATTTACCCAAAATACTTTTTTTAGGAAACTTTTAAGTTCAAGTCGGAGCAACAAAGCTGCTGTCTCCGGCGGCGCTGCGCGGATTAAACGGTCCCAGGCGCCGCCAGATCTGGGCTCGAGGTACAAACTTAGACCGGTCCGACTGCAGGCCCGGCGGGACTGGGCGCTAGCGGGAGGGAAAGACTTTTGTTTTGCCGAACTGCTTCCTGGTGGCCCACAACATCGCGGCCGAGAGGCTGGCCTGCCGCCGGGCCCCTCTCTGTATTTACGGATCCGCGCTGGCTGTTTACAGGCAGTACAGTCCAGTCCGGCACGATTCCGCCTTTCGCGCCCGCTCTCTGCTGCAAAAGTCACTTGACGGACTATATTTTATTTTTCCCCCGGCAAATCTTACTTTCAAACTTTTGCAGCCTGTGTTTTTATAGTGCGTCGTGCGTTCGGTTCTCTTTTGCAGCGCGGCACCATCCGCACGTCGCAGGGGAGCTTCTTCATCGAGCCCGTGGAGGAGGAGCGGCCCGTCGACGAGGATGACAACGACGCCGGCGAGGAGGACGCCGGGACCGGGGCGGCGGCGGCGTCCGCGGGCCAGGCGTCCCCGCGGCCCAGCCCGCTGCACGTCATCTATCGCGTGCCCAAGCCTCCGCACGAGAACCTCGCCGAGGAGCCCACCCACCACTGCGGCATGGTCGACGGTGAGTCCACCTTCAGTCCCGTCGGGGAGACGTAAGCGGCGCGTAGTGGGACAGCGGCGGGCCGCGGCCTGGTCCGAGGAGAAATGAACTACCGTCGCTGTCAAAACTGCAGCTGCGGCTGCTCCTCCACCGGCCAAAGGGCCCGGCCCGGCCGCCAGGCCTGGCACGGCACGCCATCCTCGGGCGGGTCTCGCAGCGGGGCGTGGCGGGGCGTGGCCACTGGTCGTGTGCGATGCCAGAGAGATTGGCATTCATAGACGAAAAATATACTCCCATCCCGGCCACGACGAGTTTTACGACGCTGACCGCGGCGCCGCGCGCCATCTCGATCGCTGTAAGTTTAATCGATTGGGTCAGTCCCGGCGTCCCGGCGAGCAGCGGCAGCAGCAGCAGCAGGGTCACAAAAGTGATTGAAACTAATTACAGATAATGTGCATCCAGGGTAGTAAAATCGCGGCGTCCCGAGTATAGTGGAGAGGACCCGGAGGAGGAGTCGCGCGCCGCTCCCCGCGGACATCGCCGTAAAAGCGGGACGACAGCAAATTAGGAGGAGCTAGCTGCTATATGGGAGGCGATGGCGAGTCGTATAAGTTTGACGAACAGTCGCAGCAGCAGCGAAGCGTCAATGGGACGGCATCGGGCGGCGGGAGGCAGGTGTGTGGTGTGGCAGTGGCAGAGGGAGATAGCTTGTCATTCCCTGCCATAAAAACGGAGGAATTCCGCGACGGGGTCGGGGAGGTGAAGGAGGGAGACACAGCACAGCAGTGTGGGCAATGCCTGCTGCACGGGGATTAATGGTGGGCGGACGGAACATGAGCTCCGGGGCGTCCTCCGGGGCGTCCAGCAAGCACACCGCAGCGGGGCCCCGCCCCCGCCGGCCCGCGCCAGAGGGAGCACCGCGAACACGAAAAGTCTCCCTCGTCGTCGGCAGCAGACGCCACCAGGAATGGTAATGACGAAAAATAAACAAAACGGGAAGGGGGCATATCCCTCTCGCCTCGCGCGGGCGTCGTCGTCGCGACACTGAGAAATGTTAATGCAATTTGCGCGTGACGCGCCCGCTCCTGCGCCGCGTCCGCCACCGCAAGAGAGACGGGTCTGCGACGACGTCGTCGCCGACGGAGGACCAGCTCGAAACGCACGGGCAAACGGGATGAGCGACGTAGCTGCTCAATTTGCCATCAGACTTTGTTTTTTAGGCTTATCCAAAAGTGTTTGTTACTTAAGGCAGACATGATGAACGAACCCGCGCGCACGGTCAAAGGCATAAAACGGCACACAGTACAAATGAATGATGTGCGGGCATCTGCCGTGGCAGAGCGGAGTGCTGCGGCTAGAATTTTTATTTTCCAACCAAGTATGCATTTTTAGAAGATTTTAATTGTAAACGAATGTTCTAAGCTTTTTCTCAAAAGTGTTTTTTTCCTTTCTTTTTTTCTGGAAATATTACCATTTTTTCACTAAGTTTTTAAAAAGTTGTCAATTACTTTTGGGGAATATTATTTTGGACTTTAAAATCCCTAGGCTGTGGCAGTGTGCGGATGCGGATGGGCGCCACCGTTTCGGAATGAGAGCACCGCAAGTCAAGAGGGTGCGGAATGACCCAAGTGCCGCCGCCGCGCGGGTCGCGGGGTCCTGTCGACCTGTCGTCGCGGCCTGCACACGCTGCACAGTCATAAAACCGCCGACGCCCTGCAGCGGTCAGCCTGACGGCCTGACGGGCAATAGTCTCGGCCTGCTATTCTTCCTCTCTGCGCACGTCCTCGGCCAGGGCCGGACCAGGACTGGCCGAACCCGAGGCCGCCACGCCCCGCGGTGCGTCCAGGCCATCCAGGCCCACCCGCCGCGGGGCTCCGCGGACAGGCCCAGCCGAGGATGAGGCGTAATAGATTCGGACATTTCACGCTGTTTGGCTAATGTGACGGGCAGCGCAGCGCTGACGCCGCGCTGAGCTGAGCGCTGCCCTGGCCGACGGCGCCGCCGCCCACGATGCAGCCCGTCCGTTCCCCGTCCGTGCCCACGGGCCCCCGGCCCCCGGGCCCCGCGGGCACGGCGCACGTCCGTCCGGCCGTCACGATGCCGTGGTGCGGCGTGCGCTCGGGCGTGCTGCGCTGTCCTCGCGCGTGTAGGACTCCCGGTGCAGCGTTTTGTTCCTATGTGACGTGTGCGATCGGCAGCGGAACAATACCTGTTGTTGTTCCCTGCTGCTGTCTCCTCGTCTCCCTTGTTGTCTCTACAGCCTGGCGGCGGGGGCGGCGGGGGCAGGCCTGGCCGGGGACGGCGTGCAGCTGTTTGGCGGGCGCGGCGTGGCGCTCTGCTCCACATAATCCTCCCACATTGGTGGCGAAGCCCCCCGCTGGGCTTAAGGGCCCCTGGGCCGTCCGTCAGCTCTGCGCCGGGCCGGCCCCGAGGGTCAAAGAGGCGACGGACGGCATCTGGTAGTAGCGCAGCTCAGCAGCGGCGGCGGCGGCGAACGGGGCCACGGGGGCCATGGGGGCCAGGGTGGGCGCTGTGCTCTGAGGCCGGCGCTATACTCCTGCAAGTAGGCAGCGGTGGGTACTCCGGTCATCAAGTCGGTCAGAGTAGGCAACCGGCAACCCGCACGCGCGTGTGCATGCGGTGGGTAAACAGTCTAAGTACGGGCGTTGCGGTTGAGCCGCGAGCGCGCACTGTCTCTTTCGCACTCTCACCTTCCCAGTTATCTCTCTATGTCTCACACATTCCAGGCTCCTCGCTGCCGCGCTCGCTGTCCAGCAGCAGCAGCAGCAGCAGCAGCAGCAGCAGCA